AACGAAGATTTAAAAAATGAGTGTCAAAGTATAAGGGGCTTGGATAATGAAAAAATGAGGAAAAGTATTTTGGAAAATAATAAAGCATCCTTGCAGATTTTCAAAAACATATTAAAACCAAGACTGATAACGAAAATGTCAAGAGAAGGAATAAATCTGCGAATTCTAATGGATGCTCATGAAAAAAATCCTACTGAGGGCATAGATATATTATTATCCATCGCAGTAAATAACAAAATACGAGTAACATCTTCGAAGACCATAATACGTACTGAAAGAAGATTTTAAAAAGAGGTAAAAATTTGTATAGGAATAAAGAAATAAATAAATAAATATATTTCTCGTATGCGAAGAAATTTTATATAAAATAAATACATGCAAATCTGTATTCGATGTTCCATATTCCAATAAAAAGGATCCATATTACATGCACATTTAGACTGCACCATCACAAGAAAATTACAACACTATACATTGGCCACTAGATCAGATGTACATCTCGTGTCAGATGAGTGACACGACGTTGGAGTATCCCATTCGTCCCTGTACATCAAAAGCATCATCCACACAAAACGAGGAGACGCTGGGATGAGAAAAATTTATGGAACTCGTGTGCTGATAAAGAATTAGTTATCGCCCAAAGGTTCAGAATGGGTGAATGTGTATGCGTGTGTAACAGTTTCGCATCGACGCGCTGTCTGGGATCGAAGTAAAAAAAATCTATCATCGGAGCAGCCTGCCCCTCCCGTTCGAAAGGTGAATCATGGAGAACCCGATAATTATCATCATTATTATTGTAATAAAACGATTGGCTCGATTAAGCGGCATTGCTTTATAGTATGCTTTTACGCGGATGAGTCATCCTGTGGATGTAATATATACGGTGAACACGTTTAAGTAAAATTATTATTATATTTCTTGTTTGCCTTTCACATTTTCGTTCAGTTCGTTTTTTGTTTTTTTTTGTTTTTGTTTTTTTTTTGCTCGTCAGAAGAAAGAGGCGGCATGGAGAGGAGGAAACAAGTTTCTGAGGCCGAACGCGTCTTCCGCTCGCGAGCGTTTTGTTTTTTTTTTGCTCGACGCCTACCTCTTGAAGGATTTGTAGCTTCTTATTTGTACACCTTACAGTTTCTTAACATTATTTTTTGTACGTTTCCGCGCGAATGATGTCGTTGTGCCGTATATGACATATTGCAGACTGCAGTGTGTAGATTTTTAAGGCAAAAATAGTTTATATATAATACATAAACACTGTGTCTCGATGTAACAATGAAAAGACTTTTTTGTATAGTTTGGATGACGGTAAACATAACTAACAATCTTACGCAAACGAGATTTTATGAGTTACGTGTACACGATGTTCATTTCGATTCTACTTATTGTTCGCTCATAGAAAAAGCTTCGTATCGGTTGAAGGTGGAGTTTACTTATGAACATTTTAGAAACATGTTTCTTGGTGCATGTGATCAAATTTAGATATCTGGAAAAAATACCCGTCTCTTTCTCTTTGTGTGTGCATGTTATTACTTACCTTATTGCGATGTTTAAATAAAGTTTTTTGCGATATTTATAGTAAAAATTTTCCATTATACTGTTAATGATTATCAAACGTGTGGATTAACTTGATTTTTTTTGTGTTTTGTACGATTGTAATTAACAAAATACTTTGTCTCATTAAGTAATATATGATTAATAACTTAGCAATTATATTGGTCTAAATACTTTGTCTCATTAAGTAATATATGATTAATAACTTAGCAATTATATTGGTCTAACCAAAAAAGTATGACGAAAATTAAAAACAATTTTTTCAAATAAAAATTATAACAAATTATATTTTAAGGGAGATTTTTGTCAATTTCGTTGACATATTAATTATAAATGCTGTTGTGCACGAAAAAAAATTTGCATCCTCTTTACCAACACTTTACAAGCTGTACTGCGTAACAAAATTTTTCCAAATTTTCACAGGGCGCAGACTTTATGACGATGTCTGTACAGTGAGAGGAGATTTTTGATTGACTGAAAGCGTATTTATTTATGCCAAGAGCGAAACACCCAAATGGCAACTCACCAAAATTACAGATTAAAAAATTACAATATTAAATACACAATGTTACTACAATAAATTGTTACAAAATTAATGGCGCAGATGAACATACTAAGTATACCAGAACAATAATACTGTGTAATCGCAAATAACCTATTAAAACCGACTAAAAACGAGGAGAGAATTGAATTGAATTGAATTGAATAGTTTAGTGAGGCTAAGGACTCAGGGTCCTTAATAGCCAAAGCTTAATACATTGCCTTACATTTGGCGGAAATAGTAGGCACGCAGGCCCGCTTACATAGTTTGAGATTCAAGCTGTGTGTCTAATTAAGCATATTAGTAATTAAGATAAGAACATAAAATTTGAATAAAAGTAATATAAAATTCAATACTGGAGCGCAGTAAATAAACAAAATAATTAATTAATTAATTAATTGTAATATCACATCCCTCAATTGAGCCGCAAATCTATTGATTCCAAATATTGCAAGAGGTCGACTAAAAACGAGGAGAGAGAGAGAGAGAGGGGAGAAAATATATTTTATTTTTCATTTTTTAACAATATATACTCGTTAACTTGCGATTTGATGACCGGGATGAAACGCGATCGCACGTCTCTATACTACTGGAACGTAACCCGAGTCTTTCTCTCCTAGCCGGACACAACTCGACATCTGCGAAATTCGTCTCTTGCTGATCGTAATCTGATCTTAGATAATGCCACCTATGGATTTTTTTTTTTTTCTGTAAACTGTAATCCAAAGTTACTGGACTTTCGGAAGTCCCATTAGAGCCGATTTTACGATTGTGTTCGAGCTACACAAGCTTCACAGTACAAACAAGATAAAAAAATGCCACTAGTTATGCCATTTTTACAACTTCGATAAAACACGCTCCTATCTTAAGTTCCGTTTTCCACGTAGGTATTTTTATTCATGCAGTGCTGGCAGACCGAGTGTATGGATACTAAAAAAAAATAGTCAAAGCATTTGAAAAAGTATTTAAATATTTTACAATAAACTTTAACACCTTAAATGTATTACACTTGTCAATGATAACAACAAAATTTTTCTCTACTTCGGAATGTAAATGGTGACAAATAAAAAAATGTTCTACATTTGCTAGGAAAATCATGTGCATCGTAAGACTATTCTGGCATCCTTGAAAAGATAAAAAAAACGTGTAATTCCAGAAGAAAATATTAATTCATATACCGATGTCTTGAGTGTATGGTGTTTATTATCATACGATTCCGCAATAAAAATTAACATTTGTAGAGTATGGTTGAGACATTCAAACCGAAAGAATTTTAATCAACACCTTTTTTTCATAAAAAATTCTGGTATATGAATTATTGTACTCAAATAAATGTTTTGAGTACAATAATTTTTACAAATTTTTTAATTTGGATACACAAATAACTCGGGCCTCGTAGTAGGTAATTTTATTAATTTATTGTAGTCCATTATACATCATAGATTTTTTGCGCGTATACTCTTCGTGTATATGACTAACGATATTAATCATTTTTTGTGAGATAAGAATATGATTTTAAAAAATTTCTCAGTCTGACTAACTAAACGTACGTGGGTTCAATATACCTATAATATGAAAATTATCGAGAAAAAGAATAATTTTGTTTGTTATGAATATCTTTGGGTAACATCACTTTAGTTATAAAATCTTACATTCATTGTTGACATTAAAATGGCGATCTTGTTTAACATCACTGATAAGGTAATCTAAAATTGAAGTTCGTGTCTTTTGTCGAATTTGATGCTCCTTCCCCGTAAGCACGTACAGCCTGATAAATTCAATTTTCGTGCCAAATGAATCAATTGTAGTCTGTGATGAGCATGTGTGAAAAAAAAAAGAAAAACGTTAGTACCCAAACTCAATGAAAATGTATACGGTAAAATCCATAAAAAATATCTTATTTTTGTCCCTTATTTTTTATAAAAAAAATTTTCATCCGAAATAGGACTTATTTTACTCGTAATGCCATGTACTAAAAGGAAAAAAAATTTTGAAGACTGGTTTCAGTGAAGGTGACGCCCTTTTTTCGTGATTCAAATACCTATAAATATCATCCTTACAGATATAATTTTAACATGTAAATCGCGGAAAATGGGCGTTACCCTCACTGAAACCAGTCTTCAAAACTTTTTCCTCATAGTACATGACATAACAAATTAAATGGGCGAACAACTTTTTTTTTTATCCAATGGTAGACAAAAATGGGATATTTTTTGTGGATTTCCTCATATTTTGTGGATATCCTCGACTACTATAATTGATCGGCTCCTCCTATTGAAAATACATTGAACTTGAAGTAGCGCCTCGTTCCAATTAAACCACCTGCGCATATTTGATACTCAATCAATCATACACACGTATTGGCATTTCAACGGGTCCGAACTTTTAGGTCAGGGAAACTAGTTCGTCGAGTACACCGGAAGAAATCGCTGAAAAATTCCTTACGCGAGTGCAAGCTGGTGTTGGAAAAAAAAAAATTGCAATCGTCAATTGGACACGATTTACCGATTTGTGTGGGAAAACTCGGCGTATATTATTCGAAAGATAACTCGATACCGCGCGAACGCAGCGCTGGGAAGACGCAAGCACTCGGATCGAGAAAGTAAGTACAGTGCTCCGGCTTGGCTCGAGTAAGTACGATCCAAGGCCGGCCTCTCGTCAATCTCGTCGTGCACGCCTCAGTAGTATCTTCGGAGCATCGGCAGCAGCACTGGTTTAGCGCAACTAGGTACTCAAGCGATGGAATCGTACGAGTTGCACGTATAGCGCGTAACTGCGCGTGTTGTATCGGTCACTCGCGGGCTTTTGATTTAAATGCTGGTTCATTGTCTTTGCGAAGGTTTATCAGTGCAAGTGAGACGCGATGCTGCCCACTTCGGCCAGTTGTAAGTAATCCGATTTTCTCGCAGTAAATATCGAGCTTCGCCTCTTTTCCTCCCGATAGACAACTATGTTGGGATCTCCCCGCTTCGTTCGAATCACAGAAGCGCACATTGTTCGACGAGTCTTTTTTTTCCTTATAATTAACGTTTTGCGTCAGGTATACGCATCCAGCAAAGATGGATATTCGCGGTGATGGGTTTCTTGGGACTGTTCAACGCTTACGCGATGCGCATCTGTCTGTCGATCGCAATCACGGAGATGACCGTGCCTGTGAACATCACCGAGGAGCTGATCGACGACACGTGCCCGGATCTCGAGCAACCATTAACGAGCAACGCCACTGTTGTTTTACCACCGCACAGAGGCACTTACGTTTGGAGCGAGTACACTCAAGCGAGTATTTTTTTCATGTTTTTTTTACATCCATCGATGTCTGTTGTAGAGCGGATCGTATGGAGTAGTCGAAAAACCTCAAGGTTACATGGTTCCGGTTGGAAAGGAGGAATGTTCAAAAATTATTGAGTCCTTGTTTTCTCTACATTGTATGTTTGTTTGGATATATTTTTCAATATCTTTTTTTCAGTCAAGTATGTTTTTTTTTAATTTAAAAAATAATTTTTTACGCGAATTATGCGGAAAAAAAATTTTTTAAGTTCGAGTTCCTCGATTTCATTGTTTATTTACTTACATTTTTACGTACCATTGAGAACGAGGTAATATTTGTGATCGATAGCTAATTGATCTACTTTGATGGGTCAGTGTGTCTTTTTCTTTATAGTCATTTGATTAATTCCGTTTCATTAGCTAACGCATAGAAATATGACAATGGATGTGGATCAATGATCAAGCTGTACTTAAAAATAACTTAACGAAAAATATTAATGAGCGTGGTAACGATTTACATCATAGCAACTGATTTTATATGAATAAATTAACGACGAAAGGAAATTCCGTTCAAATTCTTTTAGTTAATATCTAAATATTTTTATAATATTGCGAAAATTTATTGATAAAATAAAAAATCCACGTAAAACGGTTATTAAAAGACTTTTAACAATATTAAGGTGTCATACTTATATATGATTCAGTATAAAAATAAAACAAATAACTATTCATAAAGATGACAAAAAATGAAATGATAGCAAAGTATACAATTATAAAAAGATTCCGCAATAAAAATTTAACATTTGTAGAGTATGGTTGAGACATTCAAACCGAAAGAATTTTAATCAACACCTTTTTTTCATAAAAAATTCTGGTATATGAATTATTGTACTCAAATAAATGTTTTGAGTACAATAATTTTTACAAATTTTTTAATTTGGATACACAAATAACTCGGGCCTNAATTATTTTAATATTGAATTAAAAAATGATGTATAAAAAAATAAAATTAACCATCTACACCGTGATATACGAACACATACAATAGTAAAAAAATCTTCTTGGTTAAATATTCCATCCTGCACTGGATTCATGCAAAAAAAATTCCGGGTACAAAAAACAATAAGCTAGAATTTAATAAAATAAATGACACGCAATATGTTTCACTACATCAATTGGCTTACTTCGGATTTTCTATCGATGCAACTCTGCGTACATTACATTTGATTGAAGTAATTTTAGTGATTGTAGTAACCAGTTTGGGGTCACGCGTTTATAATTGTACTTTCGAGTCCGTAACTACGCGTGCAGGATAACATTTTCAACTACAGTATGCTTTTTTTTTTTTATTCCATAATTACGCATTGGAATCGCGAAATTTGCATCATCACGTCTTCGACTTGAAGCAAGTATTATGAACTATAGTTTCTAGTCATCGACTTCTCCCGTTGACAAAACAAAACTTCAACTCTGTAATAAATTACTCATGAAAAAAAAAAAAAAAAAAAAAAAAAAAAAAAAAAAAAAAAAAAAAAAACCGAGGGCCGAGAGCGTGTACGTATTTATGGTTGTGGGGGATGTTTATGTACAGTGTATATCGAGTGCCAGGGCGTATTGAAATTTTTTTCCCGGATGTCAAAGACGTCCGGGCGCTCGCTGCGACGAGAAATTTGTTTTAATAAACCTGCCGGGCGGCGAGGAGACTCGAGCTTCGACAGTTATTACATGGCTTTTTTTTAAGGGTTGGGAGAAGGGAGTAAACAAGTACAGGATGGAGGGCAAAGTGAGTTTGTTTCACTTCCTGTTGACGGGAAAGTTGGACGATGCGAAAAAATCCCGCGAACAAACCCGGCTAGTTTACTTTTGAAGTATGCTCGTTACATTTTGCCGGGAAATAATTTGATTGGTTTTTAATTGAGGGTCATCCTTGGTTGGATTGAAATGTTATGCACCGAAAAAAGGAAAAACCCAATAAACGAGAGTTTCAAAAAATACTCTTGATTAAAATTTCGGGAAGTACACCAACCTCCTCGGGTTCTCTTCAGCCGCTACCTTTTACATTTGAGAAAAGAAAAAAAAAAAAAAAATCCTGGGCACAAAAGGTAATGACGGCCCACTGGGTCCCACCGAGCGAATTGGCCCTGATAACAGCGGTGATCTTCATAGGCGTCGATCTGGGCATAATCGGCGCGACAACGATATCCGGACTGATTCTCCGTTACTCGGTCATCGGCTGGCCCGGTGTCTTTTACTTCTTCGGTGGTGCTGGCATCCTTTGGTTCGTACTCTGGGTACTTTTGTGCTACAACGACCCCGAGGAGCATCCGTTCATATCGCGCAAGGAGGCCACCTACCTGCGGGAGTCGCTCAACGAGCACACCCACAAGAACATGCCGCCAGTGCCGTGGGCCCACATTTTCAAATCCAAATCCTTTTGGGCGCTACTGGCAGTGCAAATTGGCCACGATTGGGGCTTGTACACCCTGGTGACCGATCTCCCCAAGTACATGTCGAGCGTGCTCCGGTTTTCCGTCGAGTACAATGGCTACTTGTCCTCGCTCCCGAATCTCTGCTCCATCCTGTACTGCCTGGTCATATCCTGGGTGACCGACAAGATGATCACCTCAAAGTGCCTTTCCAGGACCAACGCTCGGAAGATCAACACCACGATATCGACCATCGTGCCCGCGTTCCTCATCATCGGAGCCTCGTACGCCGGCTGCCACCGCACCACCGTCGTCGTGCTGTTCACCCTCGGGGTGATGTTCATGGGTAGCAGCTTGCCGGGGATCAAGGTCAACTCGCTAGATCTCAGTCCGAATTACGCGGGCACGCTGATGGCTCTGACCAATGGGATAGCCTCGTTGACGGGCATGTTGACTCCTTACCTGGTTGGCGTGCTCACGCCCCGTCAGACCCTCAGCGAGTGGAGGCTGGTCTTTTGGATCGTTTTTGCCGTTTTCTTCGTTACCAATACGATTTTCGTGATGTTCGCGAGTGGAGACGTGCAGGACTGGAACGATCCCGTTTTCCTCAAGGACCAAAGTGATAAGAAAAACAACAAAACCTGATGCCTGGGAATGAAGTTTTTTTTTTTTTTTTTTTTTTTTTCAACAACTTTGTTACTGGTTTTTTTTTTCCTCCAGAAAATTTGAGTCTACACTTGCTTTGGGTCGTTAGTTACGAGGCGCTGAGAACCACATGTATATTTATGAAAGCAAGATTACAATTGTTATTACAAATAGACCGCATCGCTGCTGAAGAAAAGACGTTTGTAAAAATGTTTTTTTTTTTTTTTTTTTTTTTTCTTGTTACAATATTTGTTTCCTGTGAATTTCACTAATAAAGTGCAGCAGATATCCGTTAATCAATTTATCTATTTATAACCATGAAATGTAATATCCGAGAAAGCAGTGTTGATATCAATGATGGCTGATCAGTTCAAAGAAAGTTAAGTAGAACGATACACTTCGATTGGCAACTAGATTGACAACCTGTCAGACGTCTATCATCTTCGGTCAAGCTTAATAAATTTAAATGCAGTGGACAGCACAGACTAGCGAAAACTGTGAGCATTTTTTTTTTATGCATCTCGTGACTCGTTATGATTGAAAATAGTGCATCAGTAGAAGCATAAAGTTTTTCATTAATTTGACTGAATGATTTACTTTATAATAATTACCAACTTTTGTTACGCAATATTAATGTCATTTTTAATAGGAGCGATTAGTTGTTTTTTAAGTTTTATGAATGTTATCTTACACGTTTGTTACTCAATAATTATATATTTTATATCTATGACGTATAAAAAACAAAAACGTTAATAAATGTACGATTTTTCATTTACGAATACCTATAATGTTTACCATTTTTTATGAATTTAAAAATGGTAGTTTTCCTACGAGTTTGAAAAGTCTCTGTTTGCGAACCGAGAGGTTTGCGGCCCGAGCCGAAGGCGAGGGACGTAACGAGGTTCGTAAAGGAGACTTTTCGAACGAGTTCCGGAAAACTGCTTTTTCGCCCGAGGAAGTACCAGCCTCCCAAAACCACCCGAGGGCGGAAAAATATATTTCTGTTAANTGAGCTGCAATCTGTCGCACTGCGAGTTGTTCTCTTGCATCTTGGGATTGGGTAAGTTTTTTTTTTTTTTTACAAATTTTTTTATCCATCACCAGTGTATGCGAGAGATATTGTACAATGTTACGAGTATAGTGACTACTTACCTGTGATTTTTATAGATATTTTTTTTTAATCTGGTGCTTGCATGTAGCATTCGAGTGACTTAAATAGACGTAGCAATAGTTGTTTCTGTTGTTGTAGTGGAATCCAAAAATATGTCATCAACCTTGATGGTGTACGTTAGATTTTCCTAAAAATACTTTTCAAAATATTTCCTACCCGTTAAAAAATCAATCTGGCTAAATTTGAAAGCCTTTTTAGCGTGTGTAATAAGTATATTATAGAATAGTTGAGAAAAGTTTAATTACTATGGTGATTATGTTCATATACATAATAAGTATAAATTAATGTCAACTCACTATATTTAATAATATTCTTGACAAATGTAATAATTATCACGGAGATAAGTCTTGTTAGCTGTCAAAAGTTAATTTTGTATTGTTGACTAATAATTTTAAAAATTTCTCAAAAAAATAAAATTATACATACACGCAATTAAATGAAGAAGTTAAAAGTCTGTAATTAACAATTTACTTGGGTTATACATACAAATAAAAAAAAACAAAAGATATATACACACTTTTAAAAACGTTATCACAACGATCTCCGAACTAAAGGTTGGAAGAACACATTGTTCGAAAAAAATAGGTTAAATTCTAAGTTTCATGAAAACTTAATAACACTTGAGAAACTTTAAAACAAAGCGAAGATTCAAAAGCTAAATTCAACTCCAGTACAAAAAAAAAAAAAAAAAAAAAAAAAAAACGGGTTCAAATGCATGTACACAGGTATACACATTCATGAAAAACAGTTGCTGGAGTTGCTGCATGTTCGCTCCCCCCTCACTGCTCTCTAGATTCGCCCTTTAACTGTGATGAACATCCTTAAAAATCGAATAGAAAAAATTATGCATGTTTAGATGAACTATTGGAAAAAATTGCAATTCGAGCATAAAGAAAACAAAAATAGCAGCTGGTGATTGATTTGTGGATATTTATATAGCATCATGACTGTGTATTGGGAGGTCGAAATTTTTGAAATGTCACGAAATTTATGGAACACTAGTAATGCACGCCTTTATAAGGTAAGGTCCACTAAGATTCGTACATTAATGAGCACGAGACAAAACTTAAATATCCAAAAAAATGACTCGGGATGAAAGAGATTTTAAGTAGAGGCAAGCTAAAAATCGACCAAAAATACCGCACCTGCAATAGTTCATGACTTATTATTTATTTACGGCTGTTCATCAATTCTCCGATAGTTTACTTCGTTTACAATGGCATGCAGTTAACGAGAAAAAAAATATCGCCACGCTATCAAACAAATATTAAAAACTTTATTTTCCCTACCTCGGGGCATTTTTTACAACATTTGGACGTTCACTGCACCCTTGGTACGAAAAATATATATGGGCGCCATCCAACCGAGGCTACCCTTCGCAGGTCCCACGGGCCGAAAAATAACACCGGTGGCTTTGACGGAAATTACTGTAGTGCACTTTGATGTATAAGAAAACAATTTGTTTTACTGCCTCGAGTGTTTTTTGTGACTTTTGGGCATTAAATGTGCTCTGACAATCAGTAGAAAAAACGTGGTTCGCCACAAAAGCACAATTCAACAAAGTCAATTTACTGGTTCCTCAGAACTAGTGTTTCTAAAAGGTAGATTTCTCGAATAACGTTGTAAAAGTCAACATGCTCATTATTCAAAGGACCATCAACATGATCGCTCAGTGTAAAACTGCGTAAATTCTAAAAATTACAACTTGTATTATTATTAAAAGGATTGCAGGAATCATATTTTTAAAATAATTTGCGTTTTACAAAACTTTTTTGACACATTTAACGCAGGTGATTAAATAAATTCCAAAAAGCAAGTCTTCGATATCATTAATCGTAACGTACGAGAGACATTTAAAGTGTCTTATGCTTCCCTCTCCACAATTTTTTTTTTTTTTTTCCAACTAGAGTCTATAGCGTGCTTTAATTTTCTACATCAGTCGCGATTATTTCAACGTGGCATAACTTTGTACGAGTCTCCAATCGGACGCGTTTCTGAAGAAGAGGTAGGAAATATGCTTAAAAAATTGCAACAGTGCTGTAAGTAATGAATTATATTACGTTTTGATGCTTTGGCGAAAAAATGTTAATATCTCAGAGGTGTTGTCACAAACTCGTTTTCTTATAGCTACATTTCTTTTGTCAAATAAATTATCACAACGTTAGTCTTTATGAAGCTTGAATCTCTAATTCGATCAGAACTCGAGTTTTTAAATAATACCATTTTCCCACATTTTTCAAACTCCAAACCAAGTATAGTATATTTACTCCACCAATTGGTTGATTGACAATTAATTTACTTTTTTTTTCGTTTACTCACCAAGGTGTACGTATTCCGCAAAGATGGATATTTGCGCTCATGTGTTTCTTTGCGCTTTTCAATGCGTACGCCATGAGAGCTTGCCTATCTATCGCGATAACAAAGATGGTGGTACCAAAGATCATCAATGAAACTTCTATTGACGAAACCTGTCGTGCTATATGGATGTAAAAGCAAGTGCAAATCAGACGATACTCGAGTCTAAAAATGCTTATGCTTGGGATGAAAAAACAATCGTAAGTAAATGCATTGATATTTTGACTTATCTTGACGAAATATAATTAAAAATTAGAATGCACGAGCAAATCGGTGATAGAATAGTAGTAATAGCCAAATCATATGTTTGATGATAACAATACAACGTTATCTATTCAATACCTGCGTAGTAAAAGGTTTTGTGAAATCATAGTCAAAATGAAATATACAGTATATTTTTACACAATTGTATTTTTAGTATATTATTTGTATAAAAGACATAGTTAACGCAAAACACGTGTAATCTAATAATATTTTGATCAAACTTCATATCTGTACACTCGGAGATTTATACACAGATCCTGAACGGTGTAAGATAGATGTAGGGTATAATTAAACTTTAATGATTTACAGGGCTTCGTCCTCTCGTCGGTTTACATAGGCTACATAATCACGCATTTGCCTGGTGGAATGATAGCCGACAAATTAATATGGTGGAAAATACACGCTCGGCATTGGGATCCTTTCGACGGCTATTTTTACCCTCCTCACACCTATAGCCGTACAATGGGGTGAGGCGAAAGCCCTAATTGCTCTGCGATTCCTCATGGGACTGGACGAAGGTACAACTTATCCAGCAATCAACGTTCTTTTGGCTCAATGGGCACCACCTAACGAAAGATCAAGGACCGGCTCGTTTGTCTACGCAGGGACCCTGATTGGTACCATCTTCGCAACCACCGTCTCGGGCCTTATCCTCCAATACTCGGCAAGTGGTTGGCCCATGGTGTTCTACACGATGGGCATGGTTAGCATCATCTGGTTTCTCATTTGGGTGATAGCCTGCTTTAACAGTCCACGTGATCACCCCTTTATATCTAAGAAAGAGGTGGCTTACCTGAAGGAGCGCATGGGCGAACATTTGAGCGAAAGAACGGTAGTGCCGTGGAGACACGTATTGTCCTCGAAACCATTTTCGGCCGTGATAATTGCCCTGATCGGTTTTAACTGGTCTATCTTAACTATCGTTACGGACTATCCAAAATACTTGTCCAGCGTGCTCAGATATCCCGTGAAGGATAACGGTTACCTGACTTCACTGGTCTTTTTGTGCATGTGGGTCGGTGGGATGCTCAGCTCATGGCTGGCTGATTACCTGATCGGTAAGCGCAAAGTCTCCATTACAAAGGTCCGCAAGATGGGCTCGATCATGGCATTGCCATGTTCCGCTACTTTTATTGTTGCTGCCTCTTATGCCAGCTGTGATCGTATCCTCGCCATCGAAATGATGATCGTGGCCATGACCATAATGGGCACTGCTTATCTCAGTGTGATGATCAATGCACTAGATCTGAGTCCCAATCATGCCGGCTTGTTGATGGCACTGACGAACGGTATATCGGCCATCACCGGTGTCGTGTCCCCCACCATCATTGGTTACATAGCGCCGCATCAGACCCTCGTTGAGTGGAGGCTGGTCTTCTGGATACTGTTTGCCGTTTCGTTCATCAGCAATTTGATATATTTGGCTTTCGGAAGCGGAGAAGTCGAGGCTTGAAATGACCCAGAGTTCGTCGAGAAGGAGAAGAAGAAGAAGAAGTCTATTTATTGCAGCTTGAGTGAAGAAAAAAAAGGGAGTGCCATAATTTCTGAGTAAAAAGTGTCGAAAAATTATACATCTCTCTCTCTTTCTCTCTTTGAATGCATGAGTGTATATTGTGCATACGTGCAGCTTGTGTGCGCTTTTAATTTTTATTTTTGAGAGTTAAGACTTGGGTGTTGGTGATCGTCTGATGTTTGAACGCGTAAATCGATCGCGGGATGTTTAAACTACTTTACAAGACCATAAGAAGACGAAATGCGTACTTATCTGCTGTGCGCATGAAGAGCACTATAGCACTCCAGTGGCGTATAATTATAATTCGAAATGTATAATTTGTAAGAGAGGTTATGCGGGGTCCAGGGGGCGACGCTCCCCATGGAGATACAAGGAGCTTCGCCCCAATCAAATAAATGAAGTAATCGTTCTTTAAAAAATGTAAAATAAAAAACCAATTTTACGTTGCGTATCCTAGCAGCAATAGTATATATAACTAATATGATAATACTACTACGCATTACGTGACTAGATAACCTCAGCAAATTAGTTTGCAATGTCGATGAAGTCTTGGTACAACAGAGATTAAATTGACCTAGATGTTTGAAAACGCAGTAAAAAATGGCAAAAGAAGAATTACCATAAAATACATCTTATGGGTAATATAGTGCACACAGAAAATGCTCTATAATTCATGTAAGTTATAGCATTTACTCTTGTCTATACTTACTTATCAAAGAAATGCTACAAGAAATAAATAGTCTCGATAAATAGTCTCGATTTCTACGAGGACTACTTTATCACAGAAAGTGGTGGTGGAAGTCTTAAAAGAAGTAGGCGTAAGACGTATTCTCGTTGGGTCCCTCGATCTTAGAGGATATGGAGGTATTATTTAGTTTCCTAGAGTATTGTAAAAAGTTTTGTTTCTTGGTACACGAAGTACCAGAGCTATTTACAAAGAAGCTGTTAAAGTAGTTACGAATATTATGTCTGACATTATCACAAGAAATATATGTACCTTTTCAAGATACCTTTTGGACTCACGTAATGAGGTCTTGTGATACATTAAAGAGAAAAGCAGAAGGAAAATTAAACAAACTTACGGAAAAATTTAGACTATAAAGTTGTTTGATGCGACAAGATATTTTAGTTGCAATTGCTTCGTACAACTGTACAGTCAAGGTGTGAAAGTTGTAAGAGTAAAAAAAAAAAAAAAAAATATAGCCTGTTCTATGATAAAACAATTTACCAATGGCTGTCCACGCGGAAGTTCATTGAAATCGCTGATGATGAATAAAAAGAGTTTTTTTAATTGAGAAGTTGTTAAGAGTCCAGAGAAGTTGTTAACGAAGTCATTAATTAAATAATGCCTTTACGTTGATAAGTTTGAATTGACGGCTGTGCATCTAAATGCATCCTACTCGCGTCACGCAGTAACAATTATTCGAGAGAAAAATATTGCGCTCAATAAACAAATCTCTTCTGCCCAGCTGCTGCACTTGCCCTACTTTTCTTTTTTCAACGCATTGTAAGATTATCGGGAAATTTGAGCCTTTTTACTCCTACATTACAAATCGACAAAAATTTATAATCAACAGGGCATAATTCTCTCTTCCTTCTACTGGGGCTACGTTCTCACGCATCTTCCTGGCGCTATTTTGGCTGGAAAATACGGAGGCAAGTACACCCTTGGCCTCGGCATCCTCTTTACAGCCATATTCACTCTTCTGTCACCCACTGCTGTTTACTTGGATGGCTCGAGGGCGCTGATAGTCGCCCGATTTCTTATGGGACTGGGGGAAGGCACGACGTACCCTGCCATAAACGTAAGACTGATTTAAATAACAGTGTCATGCCACAATTGGTGGGTGAAAAAATAATTTTTGTAAAATTATCTTGTTCGACAGGTGATGCTCGCCCAGTGGACGCCACCCAGCGAGAGATCGAAAATCGGTTCATTCGTTTATGCCGGGGCACCACTGGGCACCGTCTACGCAACGACGATCTCGGGCCTGATATTACACTACACCAGTTACGGCTGGCCCGCGGTCTTTTATTTCTTCGGTTCTGCGAACATCATCTGGTTCTGCGTATGGGTGTTCCTGTGCTACGACAAGCCGCAGGAGCATCCCTTCATCTCCGAAAGCGAGTCGAAATTTTTGAACGAGCAATTGAGCGATCACACCCATGAGAAGCCTCCACCCGAGCCCTGGAGGCACATACTATCCTCCAAACCCTTGTGGGCCCTGATAATCGCCCTTATTGGGCACAATTGGGCCTGGGCGACCATTGTATCGGATCTGCCAAAATACATGTCAAGCGTGCTGAAATTTTCCATCCAGAACAACGGCTATCTCTCCTCCTTGGCTTACCTTTGTATGTGGCTGGGTAGTTTGGTATCTTCGTGGATAGCCGACTGGATGATGGTCCGGGGATACCTGTCCATCACGGGCATCAGGAAATTGGGAGCATCCATATCCCTGATCGTACCGTCGATTTTCATAGTCATGGCGACTTACGCGGGCTGCGATAGGGTTGCCGTGCTAGTGCTGTTTAACGTTGGCATGGTGTTCATGGGAACCGCGTTGCCTGGCATTATGGTCAATGTCTTGGACCTCAGCCCAAATTATGCGGGCTCCCTCATGGCGATGACGAATGGTATTTCGGCGCTTACGGGCATCGTTGCGCCATACATCGTGGGGCGTCTTGCTCCCGAACAAACACTCAGCGAGTGGAGACTGGTCTTTTGGATCGTGCTTGGGGTCGCCGTGTGCACCCAATTGGTATTTTTGCGCTACGGTAGCGGCGAAGTCGAGTATTGGAATGACCCGGAGTTTGTAAAAGCGGAAAGGAGGAAAAAGGAGGAGGTGGAGGAAGGAAAACAGTAATTTTTTTTTTCAACACATTATTTCTTTCAATCGCAGAGAGAGAGACAGACATTATTACTACTTTTTTTTTTTTTTTTTTTTTTTCTTTTTACCCAAACAATATTATTTGTATACATAGTGGGTGACATTGTAAAATACAATGATATTAAAGTTACGAGGATTTTTGGGGATATTGTTGATAAATAAAATTCCTTGGAGTAAAAGGTTTATGTTATGGGTAATACATTATTTTTTATGTTTGTACACGTGATTTCAATATAAATATGTTGGCTCCATGTACAATTTGCAAAAAGTACTTACAGTGTTAAAACGTGTGTAAGTATTGTAAATTGTGCCCTAATAAATCTATATATTTTTAATTGTAGTGGATTTCAAAAAAATGTTAATCACCGTATGTTTACATTCATTTATAGATATATTATACCACGATCTATGTCATTGAGTAATGTAATGTAGAAATTTTCCAAGTATTACAAATAATATTTAATTTTGACGGTCATGTTTGTGGATTTTGTTTTCTTTTTGATAACGAAGAACTGCAAGCGCCTAATGTGTTTACTGTGTATATGCAGTTAAGGGGGTGGGGTGATACGATATTATTCTGATTGAAAGTAAACTTGAATTAAAAAAGTAAATAACTAACTACACTAATTGAGCCCCAAACACACCTTTAGAATAATACTAACCGTTGTATTTGAATACATCATGTTATATCGTAGGTATTATCATCATTGCACGTAATTTGTTTGTTGAAAAAATTACCGGAACCACCACAGTGACGAAAAATTGTATAAATACAAATAGCTTATTGCGCGCCCTACATTAATATTCTATTGAACATGGATTTCGTCATTGTCTAATGCATTTATAAATTTTTTATAATATGATAACCACTTAATAAGTATAGGGAAAAAATGCATAAGCATAGTTTTAGAAGTATATGATTTCCATATCAAATAAAGTTATCATTTTATCTTTTACTTTTTTTGTAAGTTCAAGTTCATATGTTTTAATAGTCTCTTTGATATTAAAATAAAAATAAAGTATCTTGTCGTCTTATATTATTTCTGTTTCTGAGTCACTGACAATGTTAGTTTCCAAATTAGTTTTTTCCTATATTTTTCTTATCTGTCTCTAAATATTGTAAAATTGTATCTTTGTCTCAATGTATTGATCATATACATAAAATCGCATTTCCTAATCACTCACCTGTGTCCAATCTGTTTCAATAAAATATTTTTTAAAGTTTATTGTTATCGTACTTAAATTTTTTGTCTCTTGTTTACGTTATTAATATCTTCTCGCACAATCTCTAGTATTCCTAAGTATATCTCTGTTCTCTATTTCATCTAAGTCTTTCCACATAATATTTTGTATCCTAATATTTGTATTAATTACCCTCTTAAGCGTGGGTAAGAGTTTTTGTAATAATTATACGGAAATAATTTACCTTTAAAAAATGAAAATAGAATTTAGTTAATCGTTCATGTTATACGAATTCAATAAAATAATGTACATGAATCATTTATAAATTTTAAAACATTTATTTGTAGAAATGCTACATAGGTGTAAAGTATAAGAGCCAATAAAAATCGTCTAATAGGCTCAGTTTTGTAGCAAACATTCTTAGACGAAGATTGTGAAAACTCAGATTATTCAATATTCTTTTAAATGAGTCGATCAATCTGTGTAGTCGTTTTCAATTCAAAAATTTTATTAGGCCATCTGTCACATTTTATAAACTCTTATATGTGGACATTGATTATGCACCGTAATACATACTTTACAAGTTTGGTATGCTTTTAAAACTAATATTCATGTAAAAAAGAAGAAGTGAGCTGTAATTAAATTTAATTCTAGCATTTATCGTCATGAAAACAATTTTAATTTTTTATTTTAGAATACTTAATTACTATTTTTTTTCTCCTGTAATTTTATAAAGGTCTATCAATTTTTTTTTCTAATGTTGATAATTTTAATGACGCAGTATTAATTGTCACAAATTGTCTGGAATAACAGGCTGAATGAAATCACTATACATAAAAAAAATCACTCCATTATTTGAACATGAGCAAATACATCCCATGGCACCTATATTACTATAGGTCACCGTTTCAAATTACTTAAACACTTTTTTTAGATTTAATACATTTTTGGGGAACTGATGGGAGCATTGCGGTCAGTGTATACTCCACCGGGTATTATGCATAATGTAATAGCACAGCGAATTTCTAAATAAAATGTTTGAGTTATAATAAATATGTAAAATGTTGAAGAGATTTGAGTAGAATATACTGAGTAAAACGTGTAATTTGCGTTGAAGACGCAATGTTGTAAGTATTAGGTATACACGTCAACGCAATTTAATTTGAATTTTTACACTGTACGTCCTCTTTGGTTCGTGTATCAATACCATTTGACGTGCGATGCGTATATTTAATCTGATTTTATGCAAAAATTTATTTTATTCAATTAGATTATGTTTTCATACTTTTTATCGTGTCTCACGCTCATTTGGCAACAAATAATTATTTTATCAACTATTAAATCGTAATGTAATCATATTTCTTTTCGACAAAAAACACCGACAAATGCTGTGATTTGTATGATTTTTTTTTCTTCTATAAAATCAATAAATTAATTAAAAGAAACGAAATAAAATATGATGAAGTTAATTGTGCTGAAATTGGAAATATTGTAACCAGACAATGAATAAAAATGTCTAAAGTAGCCTAGCAATGGACTGTGAAGCGTGATATGATTTAGCGGGGAGCTTAAGCCTAGCCTGGCGACAGTACGAATTGCGAGCTCCGATGATGAGCTTGCATTTCTCGTGAAAGGCATGATTTAGCCGTTGGAAAAGTTTACGCGATCGCGTACTCGAACATCAAGATTAGCTAAAATGTACATTTGTACCGATAAAATTGTAAGCCGTACTCAAACATCAAATTATCTCGTGTAAATAGGAAAAATGGCAGGTGCTACTACCAAGGTGTTATCTTATCTTTTGGCATTGACATTGCCCTTATTTTTATCCTAGATATTCGATAGACTGAACTTGCTGGAGGTGAGAAGCCAAAAATTATATAAGCCTCATGATCACTTCGTCATTATTATCAAAAGAAGATGCTATCGAAGTGGAGCAGTAGTTGTAAGTATAACTTGTAGTACTTCAGGGTTAATATCAAGCAAAATCCGTGTTAAAATATTCAACTTGGGACAACTGCTGTGCCAAGTTGCGCCAAATTTTTCTAATGGCACGAGTCTTTAATAATACATTGAATTGTTTTTTAAACTTCGTACAACATAATATCTAAGGTAAAAATTACATTGACTACACGTTTAAAAAACTTACATTATCTTATGATGACGAATATTTTTTACCGTAATATATTTCATTAAAATTTTCTGGAACGTTCCTTAAACGTACTTAAATTTAGTCAAATTTTTATGAATAAAAATAATTTTTAATTATAAACAATAACAAATTAGTTTATAAGAAATAAGTACAGAATAACAAACAAGTTAAATATAAATAAAAAAACGGTGGTCTTTCAGGCATGAGAGCTAATCGAGAGATATTCATCTTATTTACTTGGCCAGAAAAGATGATATACCTGATACACAATTTACATCTATTAACGTATACAACTGCTATGTGTTTTTTATTCTCCTTATTTACAGCTTTATGATAGAAATGTAAATATTTTGTTAGGATAGTATTATTTATATTTTTCATAAATAATATTTTCTCAAGTTTATTTTTAGGATTTTAACTTGGGCTCTCATTATAATCTCAAGTTCTCACTTTTATAAAAAATTTTATAAACAATTTTTAGTTAGTAAAAATTTAGATATTTCGTTTACTCTGGTCAATACGATAAGATGTTTTTTTTAACTCTTGTTGGTTATTTTTATAATGAAATTACGTCTAAAACAATTAAAAATCATTTTCTATAAAAAATTTTATGTAATTAAGGTAAATTTTAAAAACGTTTTAGATACGTTCCGAAAGCGTTTAATGAAATTCCAATCACAATAATTATTCGTGCATAAAAAAAGGATTCTGAACGTTTTGAAAACATTTCCAGCTACTTTTGAAAAACGTTTTAATGTTGCAAATTTACGTTTCTGAAACGTTTAGAAAACGTATGGTGCTATATGGGTAAGTGTGACAACAAGTTTATGAGAGGTCCCTACAGTCGACAAACTTAGCATAGATAGCGTACTGTGGCTAAAAGAAAATTATATAAAACAGGTACACCGATAGATATACAAGCTGTATATTGAACATTGTGTACTTTGAAATAAAAATTGTATTTATAGGAATACTATACATAATTTTCTCTTTACTGCAAAACCTACTTTTTTTCGTTCATGTACCAAGTTCAGCATATTTTTTTTTATAGCACGCTTCGTGTTTGCCAAAATTCAATGTTAATGATTTGTGGAGAAAACAGTGGAATATGCTGTTCTCATAAATTTATGCCTCGTTTTTTTTGCAATAAAGATTAAATTCAAGAGTAATTTATTTCCTAATCATTTATTGAAAATCTAATATCTTTGATAATACATCACTTATCGAGATACAATTTTTTAATTTTTCTTTTTTATTACATCGTTTACAATTAGATTTCGGTCTTGTAGAGTATGAATCACATTTATTTCAGCATAATTTACAATGCAATAAAATTTTTAAAACGTATTTACATATTTTTCACCCCTGAAATCATGCGATGAAACAAGCATCTTGATTACTTTTCATGAATGTTAATACAGCTCTTATAAATTGAAGTACCTCAAATCTATCAAACCACTTATAAGTTATCACTGAAATCATGATTTCATCTTGTCAATATACTATTGAATAATACATACGACACATTATCCTTGACGTGCATCCGTATCAAGTTCAAAGTTTGCGTGTTCTAAATTGATTTACGAAATGTTACACGTGAACATAATACATTTTTTTTAATCAGGACAAAAGTTTTAGATTTTTTTTGTACCGTAAGGTATTTTCACTTCCATGACATTCACTGCTTGATTTCAACAACTTTTTTAACGTTTCAAATTTAGTTATTACGAATAGTATTTAAAAACTGTATATTTTCTAGTGCTTTGAAAATTAAAACCTTGTGTTTGCATCATTGAATATTACCAATTTTAAAGATAAAAACAGCTGTTTAAACATTAACGATACAAAAATTTATTCAAAGGCACGAGAATTTCCCAGCGATGGGTATTCGCCATAATGGCCTTTCTTGGCCTGTGGCTGGGCAACGGATTGCGAGTCGCTTTGTCCATTACGATAACAGAAATGACTGTACCCATAGCGGAAGCGACGCATCAACTCGATGATACTTGTGCAACCATTGAAAAGCCAGTGTTGAAAAATGTCACCACCACCGACACCGACTACCTCTACGATTGGGACGAATATACGCAGGTATGTTGTACATTAAAATGTCCTTTCTCCATGAAAAAAAAAAAACTTGATCAAAATTGTCATTTTTGCATTCCCTTCAGGGCATTGTTCTATCCTCGTATTTCGTTGGGTACGTAATAATGCACTTCCCGGCTGGCTTCCTTTCCGAGCGCTACGGTGGCAAGCACTTCCTAGGCATGAGCGTCATCGTGCCCTCCGTACTGACTTTTTTTACCCCAATGGGCCTAAAGTACGGTGGGGCTACGGCACTTACGATTATGCGGTCCTTAATGGGCCTGGCCGGTGGTGCCATGTACCCTGCCGTAAGGTATATGATACATGTACAACCAAACATCAAAAGAAAATTAACCTTCGAAAAAATACGCTGTGAAGATAAATAACGAACGATTTATCAACAGCGCGATGCTGCCCCGTTGGTCAGCCCCAATCGAGAGAACAAAATTCGGAAGCTTCGTGTACTCCGGGGGCATGTTTGGCACCGTGTGCGGCAATACAATAGCCGCTCTGATAATAAGCTACTCTGGCTCGGGCTGGCCAGCTGTTTTCTACATATTCGGTGCCGTTGGGATGCTATGGTTTCCCCTTTGGATGGTGCTCTGCTACAATAGCCCCAAAAAACATCCCTTCATCTCCGAGACCGAGTTGAAGTATCTGCAAGAGACATCGGAGAGAAAGCAAAAACCACCACCGGCGCCTTACGGACACATTTTTCGATCGATGCCAATGTGGGCGTTTGTTACCGCGCTTTTTGGAGTCGACTGGATTTACTTTACGGTTCGTCACAAACACTTTTTCTCGATATTCTTAAGGAGGATTTTTTGTGCCATTTATTATACGCATTTTCTAACTCAGAGTACATTTACCGTAGATGGCAACTGATCTGCCCAAGTACATGAGCAGCGTCGTAAAGTTCTCGATCGAGGACAACGGGTACCTGTCCTCCCTGCCCCACTTGGGCGGCTGGATGAGCTCGATTTGCAGTTTCTGGATCCTTGACTACATTGTGGGGCGGAAATGGCTGAAACTAGGCTCGACCCGAAAACTGATGGCTGTTGTGTCCTTGATAGGACCAGCTATATTCGTGCTGGGCGCTTCATACGCCGAGTGTGACCAAGTGATGGTTGTCATGATGTTTGTCGTTGGGGTGACACTTCTAGGAGCGTCGTACCCCGCCATTGTGGTCAACTCGATGGATTTGAGTCCCAACTACTCGGGGACGTTGATGGCCATTGGAAACAGCTTCGCTGCTTTGGGAGGTATTTTCACTCCATACGTTGTTGGGATTCTTACTCCCAATCAGACAATTGCCGAGTGGAGGATAGCTTTCTGGATTGTTTTTGCCACGGCTGTCCTGTCTTGTATGTTCTTTTTGGTGTTCGGCAGCGTAGAGGTACAACCGTGGAACGATCCAGACTTTTTGAAGAACGAGGGCAAAAAGCGTGACTTGGAAAGCACGTGAGATTTCTCATGCGAATTTTGAGAAAGGACTATATACGATTTGTGACAACCGTTTTATATTTTTGTAAAACGATGATATGTTAAGTGGTAGAATCACTGCGCACTGTTTTTTGACACTCAACGTACCAAGACTTTAATTTTTAGTATTCATAATAATGGTATTATACGCCTCGTAAATCTGGGTGATTTTGATGGTTTACATATACCCTCGGAAATAGATTCTTTTACAACTTGATGTTAAGAACGAATTTATTTCCGTGGATGTATACAAGGGCGTACAAAATATTGATGTCGAACAGCAGGTCACTTGTTTGAAAGATAAGCTCCGTATTAGAATTACAAGCTTTTTTTTTTTACAATTTATTGAGATATAAAAGTTTTGTTGTTGCATAATCAAACGAAGACTACAATTTTTATATTAAGACCAAAGAATGTGTTAATGTTCATACTAAGTTCGCTTGGTTGGTAAAAGGCACGAATAACTATCAATCAATGCGAAATAAGCATGCAATGTCCAAAGACTGGGCTTATTTTATACAGATATTTCTTTAATCGATAGTAGTGGTTTCCTCTTGATGAAGATACATTATTACAATGGATAGAGATATAGTAATAATCACAAATCTTAGGTTTATTATTATTTTATTCCTATCCACAGGTATACTTTTATTAATAAAAAGATATGGGCTGACATCGATTTGTTACGCATCAATTAGAGCCCCGTGGCTAAAGTTTTAGTTTCAGTTATTGCCGCATAATGCTATTCTAGATAATAGAATGGCGCTAAATTTTCGCGCTTTGCTTTTGAACACGTGAAATGGTTAAGGCTTTAGTTCCAACTTTAGCCATTTCATCCTCTTTTGTACGGGCTCTTCGGCGCTAGTAGTCGCGGCTCACCTCAAATTGTTAACTTATTTTATCTTACCAGCCAATAGAAGTTAAATCTTTAAATATCCCGTGCAACTATAATCAATGTCAGACAATTCTAAATGAACTAAAAATAGTTGCAAACAAATTTGTTTGGAAAGTAATTTGTAGCCGTTTTATGATCAACCAAACGGTGTTTGTTACAATCGATCACACGATCTGATATAGTTAAGTAAGGGTACCAACTTACAACTTTACGAAAACTTACGAAAATTTCATTTACTGCGAACATTTTGTCAGAGTTTTATTCCAGTCTTTGGCATTGTTCTAGGTGAATAACAGCGCGTAAACTCGAAAATAAGACTTAGTTGTTTTAATGTTACAAAAAAGTACAATAGTCCAGTTAAACTAACTCTGAATCAAAAAGTTGTTCTGCGCTACTACTTGATTTATAATATTTACAACCTTTCTTATATAAATAAAAAAAATTGTAGGGAAGTGAAAAAACTTTTTAAAAAATAGTGTACTAACTAAAATATAGAGAGCTTAAATATTTCAACAAAATTACGATGCAAAAAATGGGCCTGTAACGATGGAATGCGGGTAGATGACTTTTTATGAGAAACGATCGATCCTTAGAAGATCTGAAAAAAGTATTTATGAAAAAATTGAGTCGAACAATGAAATGGCAAAGATAAAAGTGGATAAACGTATGTAATTTGTATATATTTTTTAAATAATTGTTTTAAAAAAAGAAGAAAAAAAAAAATGTTAGTTACAACTGTAGTTTTGTATCCAAACTTTAATAAAAGATGCCTCACCGTTTCAATGAAATACATTCTTGTAAGCACCTCCACATTGTTTCTTCAGATAAAGAAAAAAGAATTCGTCGCATCGTCTATTGTCTTACGCCAGTGCTAAGTTACTTGGAATCGCACAAAATATTCCAAAAGAAAGGAGACCAAATAAATCTTGTCAGTCTCGGATTCCTACGATCAGTTGAAAAAATTCGTCAACAAACCTGGCATAGGGATATATTATAAAGGCACGATAAGTATACGCTCAGGTTTAACCCAAGGTCAAAATCGCGTGCAAAAGAAATGTCATTCGACACGCACGAGAGGAGATTTTGTGCCATTACCTAATCTCTCCAAGCATATTGGAATGCAAATAGCTATTCGAACGTTGGAACAATAAAAGAGAAAAATCTCAAGAGCCGCATGTTGCTGGTAAGATAGTTTAACATGACGAAAGAGGCATGGACGAACATCACGAGAGAGAATTTGTCTCGATCAATATGACTCTCCGGGGGGGAACTTAAGTGCGCGGCTTTGTGTCATGCGTGGAAGTCTGGAATGACTATTGTGTGTAGGCGCTTGCTTATACACCACTTGGCTGCTCGTAAGAGTGCACGAGTGGTAGTTTTTATCTTGTACCCCTACACCTACTCGCTAGACTCTCTAGGTGCTCTTGTGTAAATTTACTATTGGAACTCGCTCAGTAGGTATTTTCTTTTCGACAGCTGCGAGTACATTATCACTGTAGATCCGTGGGTTAACAAAAGTGACTCGAGGCTCGACAAATTGACTGTGAGTAATTTTCCGAATCACGTTTCATGCAAGGATCTTGCCGTTTCGCTGGTTTTACGTGTACCAACTTTACTTTTGAAAATAGTTCGATTTGTGATTTTTACTACGGAAATTGATTATTTCTCCCATGGGAAATTGAAAATTATGTAAACTCCTACATGTATGGGTAATAATTTATTCATCTTTATGAATAATTACCAACAGACGCGCTGAGCAAGTTTTCAAGGCTTAAATTGTATAGTGTTTATTGTAATATCTTGCATTTAATATGATGGAACGGAGTTAAATAATCTGTATTACAGACGTATCATAAATTACAGATATTCTTTACCATGCACGGTGCAGGAGAATAGTTGAAAAATATTTGAAAATTAATGAGCAATTAAGAAACGAGAGTTTTGAAAAATTTTTTAAGTACCTGCATCGCTTTTTTTTTATCATACTTTTACAAGCTATAAACGAACACTGCTTAATGACTGTTTAGCGCGCGAGGAACAGATAAGCAGTTAAGCAATATATGGTCAAATAAGGCAACGTTCAGTGCTTTGAAATATAAAAAGGTGAGTTTGCTGCGTGGCTTTATTGTCTTTTGAATGATGTTGAAAGATTTTCACTTTACATTCATTTTCGTATTATTCAACGCATTTCTAACCTGTATTTTTTTCGAAAATCTCGTGACTTTTGACTGCAATAGACGACGCTTCTCAAGCGGCACCCCATGCTTTCTCTACATGACACGTCCTGCTCATTTTTAACCAAGTCATATCTAACACGTTGGCACTGAAAAATTAATACGCATTTAATTAATCATTTTAAAAAATCGAATGTTTATATTCGCTGGATTTTCTTTAATTTCATTTCAACCATTTAAACATGAATATTTTGAATTTTTTTTTTTTTAATTTATCATCAAATTATTTTTACAAATAGGAGATCGATGTTGTTTTCGCTCGAGATAAAAATCGTAAAATAAAAACCATGCTGTCGTCTTGGACCGGTTGCTGTGAGTAACGAACAATGTTTTTGCAATCGCAACACTTTTTACCAGTTATTCTTCTCAAATAATTACCGTGTATCAATTACCGTAGAGACAGAGATAAATTGTTAACAATTTGTACCCGAAAAAAGAGTACATATTACAACCAAGCCTCAGTCAAAAAGTAATCAAAGAACACAAAATATTAAATACAATTTTTTAAATTACCACCCCCGTTACTGAGCATAGTCGAATATATTTAGTTTCTTCCTGTACGCTTGACATAAAAAATATATTCAGTATTAATACACGTAATTTTTAGGTTCGTGCATATCGCAGCGATGGACCTTCTCGATAATGTCATTTTTGGCCCTCTGCATTGGAAACGCGATGCGTTCCGTGCTCTCCATCACCATAACAGAAATGGTTTACCCCATCCACAACGTCACGAATCAAACTCACGAGAGATGTATCGCCCCGACGGAGCATGCCCCGGATAACGCGACCGCGGCCTCTTTTGGCGATCGTTACCATTGGGACGAGTTTACCCAGGGCCTGATATTGTCCTCAATTTTCTGGGGCTACGCCCCGACCCAGTTCATCTACGGCTCGCTGGCCGAGCGCTTCGGCGGCAAGTACTTCCTGGGCCAGGCCATTTTCATACCATCGCTACTTACTCTGGCAACCCCACTGGTCATCGACTGGGGTGGCTCCACCGCCTTGATCATCATCCGCATACTCATGGGCGTGTCCAGCAGTGCCATGTACCCATCCGTGAGCTCAATGGTCCCACACTGGACCACGGCCAAGAACCGCACGAGATTTGGCACCTTCATCTGCGCTGGCTTCATCCTCGGCCCAGTTTTCGGCACCGTCATGCCAGCCCTCATAATCAAGTACACGGGGTCCGGTTGGCCGGCCGTCTTCTACTTCTTCGGGGCCCTGGGAATATCGTGGTTCCCGTTCTGGGTGCTGCTCTGCTTCAACAACTCGGACGACCATCCCTTCATCACCGACCGGGAGCGCCGGTATCTGCAAGACAGCCTAGAGAAGGAGGTGTGCAAGAAACCACCGCCAGCCCCGTACGCCCATATTTTCCGATCCAAACAGGTCTGGGCCTTCGTCATTGGACTGTTTGGCTGCGACTGGGCTTACTTCACGGTTTGTCACCAACACATTCTTTTCTCTCGTATATTATAATCTATAATCATCTATAACTCTTACTTATAGATGGCAACCGATCTGCCCAAGTTCATGAGCAACATCGTCGGGCTGCCGATAGACCAGAACGGCTATCTGTCGGCGCTGCCGTACCTTTGCATGTGGCTGAACTCGACCCTGAGCTCTTGGCTGGTCGATTGGGTGATAGCGCGAGACCTGATGACGATAACCAACGTGAAGAAGCTGCTGACCGTCGTTGCGGCCATTGGGTCCTCCGGCTTCATTCTACTCGCCACATACTCTGGTTGCGACCTCACCCTCATCGTGGCGTGCTTCGTTGCAAGTATAACCCTCATGGGTTGCGCTTATCCCAGCATCATGATGAACAACCTCGATTTGAGTCCAAACTACGCCGGCACCCTCATGGCCTTTGGCAACGGCGTGGCCGCGTTGGGTGGGGTCTTTTCGCCTTACCTCGTCGGGGTGTTGACGAAGAACCAAACCATGGCCGAGTGGCGGATGGTCTTCTGGATCGGGTTCTTCATTGCCCTCGCCTCGAGCGTTTTCGTCGCATTTCACTCGAGCAGTGACATCCAGTACTGGAACGATCCCAACTTCGAGAGGGACGCGAATAAAGTTGTGACAAAGCGCACCAAGAAAAAGTACGCGGGGGATGGGAAAATCGATACCGCAGTTCTGTGAATTACTATTACGTGCATACTAATTTATAATAAAACTCACCGGTGCATACTTGGCGAATAACATTTTTTTTTACGTTTCAATACATCAGCTGAAGTAGGACGTGTGCTTTATTTTCTTGACAATTTTTTTTTTTTTTTCAATACCACTAGAGTGTCTTTTGTCAGTTATCCCGCGGAAACACTTATTGTTACTAACATCAAGTGTGTGCTCAAGGTTTATTGTCATCTGAAAATTTGGTCCGTCGAGCAGATGAAGAAAAAACAGTATTTCAGAATTGTATACTCATAATTTTTGCTACCAGAATACGTGTGCTTCATAGTACCCATTATAATGAATGATATGAACAGTTGAACGACTTAGATGACATCGTCCTGGCTATAATATTGATGTGTAAGTGCTGTCAAAAATTAGACATGATAAATATTTATAATCTCGTTTGAATAACAAATTGTCGGTGGATATTGTATACTAAAAAAAGAAGAAAAAAAAAAATGTTAGTTACAACTGTAGTTTTGTATCCAAACTTTAATAAAAGATGCCTCACCGTTTCAATGAAATACATTCTTGTAAGCACCTCCACATTGTTTCTTCAGATAAAGAAAAAAGAATTCGTCGCATCGTCTATTGTCTTACGCCAGTGCTAAGTTACTTGGAATCGCACAAAATATTCCAAAAGAAAGGAGACCAAATAAATCTTGTCAGTCTCGGATTCCTACGATCAGTTGAAAAAATTCGTCAACAAACCTGGCATAGGGATATATTATAAAGGCACGATAAGTATACGCTCAGGTTTAACCCAAGGTCAAAATCGCGTGCAAAAGAAATGTCATTCGACACGCACGAGAGGAGATTTTGTGCCATTACCTAATCTCTCCAAGCATATTGGAATGCAAATAGCTATTCGAACGTTGGAACAATAAAAGAGAAAAATCTCAAGAGCCGCATGTTGCTGGTAAGATAGTTTAACATGACGAAAGAGGCATGGACGAACATCACGAGAGAGAATTTGTCTCGATCAATATGACTCTCCGGGGGGGAACTTAAGTGCGCGGCTTTGTGTCATGCGTGGAAGTCTGGAATGACTATTGTGTGTAGGCGCTTGCTTATACACCACTTGGCTGCTCGTAAGAGTGCACGAGTGGTAGTTTTTATCTTGTACCCCTACACCTACTCGCTAGACTCTCTAGGTGCTCTTGTGTAAATTTACTATTGGAACTCGCTCAGTAGGTATTTTCTTTTCGACAGCTGCGAGTACATTATCACTGTAGATCCGTGGGTTAACAAAAGTGACTCGAGGCTCGACAAATTGACTGTGAGTAATTTTCCGAATCACGTTTCATGCAAGGATCTTGCCGTTTCGCTGGTTTTACGTGTACCAACTTTACTTTTGAAAATAGTTCGATTTGTGATTTTTACTACGGAAATTGATTATTTCTCCCATGGGAAATTGAAAATTATGTAAACTCCTACATGTATGGGTAATAATTTATTCATCTTTATGAATAATTACCAACAGACGCGCTGAGCAAGTTTTCAAGGCTTAAATTGTATAGTGTTTATTGTAATATCTTGCATTTAATATGATGGAACGGAGTTAAATAATCTGTATTACAGACGTATCATAAATTACAGATATTCTTTACCATGCACGGTGCAGGAGAATAGTTGAAAAATATTTGAAAATTAATGAGCAATTAAGAAACGAGAGTTTTGAAAAATTTTTTAAGTACCTGCATCGCTTTTTTTTTATCATACTTTTACAAGCTATAAACGAACACTGCTTAATGACTGTTTAGCGCGCGAGGAACAGATAAGCAGTTAAGCAATATATGGTCAAATAAGGCAACGTTCAGTGCTTTGAAATATAAAAAGGTGAGTTTGCTGCGTGGCTTTATTGTCTTTTGAATGATGTTGAAAGATTTTCACTTTACATTCATTTTCGTATTATTCAACGCATTTCTAACCTGTATTTTTTTCGAAAATCTCGTGACTTTTGACTGCAATAGACGACGCTTCTCAAGCGGCACCCCATGCTTTCTCTACATGACACGTCCTGCTCATTTTTAACCAAGTCATATCTAACACGTTGGCACTGAAAAATTAATACGCATTTAATTAATCATTTTAAAAAATCGAATGTTTATATTCGCTGGATTTTCTTTAATTTCATTTCAACCATTTAAACATGAATATTTTGAATTTTTTTTTNAAGCTATCTTCCCTTATCAGAATCCAAAATTATTCATTACGTTTCAAATACTTGTATTCTTAGACTATCGAACAATTAAAAAAATTCGTACACATATTAGTATGTTTGTTTAAAAAAACAAAAATGTGTACTTCTACTTCAAAAGAAACCTCCGCTTATGAATTAATAAATAGATTTTGGTGAAAAAATTTGTATGCACGTAAAAAAATATTAGAAGCATAAAAGTGGAACATTACATGGTGCTCATACATTTGACAGTAAAATATCGCATCTAACTGTACTCACAGATACAATTTACTTTGTTATATTAGTTTTTAAGAAACATAACATTGATATCTTTACTAAGAAGTAACTGAATTTACTTAAAAAAGAAGTAATTAATTATACGCTCATAATTTTTTTTATCATTACTTTGTTAATCTACTACCTAAGTTTTATCTACCATTTGTATAATGTGAATATTTTTCATAATTTCTTTGTCAAATTATATTTTATCACACATTATTAATAAGGTCCACCATGTAAATTTAAAAAAAAAATTGATTTGAGAGATCTAATCAATTAATGCATCCTTCAACCCAACACCGTTTCGGCATTCGCTCAATAGTCAATCTACTCAGATTTAAACCAGTTCAGTTATAGCTATTACTGTAGATTGAGTAGATTCAAAATTCAGCTTGGTGCTAAGCCAATTTTTTTTTTTTTTTTTTGCTATATATTACAAGCTTACTTCACTTAAGTAAAAAATTATTTAAATTTTAGTTGAATGTTTAATCATATTACATTGAAAGCTACAGCCACATAAAGCAATAATATTTTCAACTATAAGAAGCTACTGATATATATATCTTGGGAAGGGTAAAGCATTCAGAAAACCTAATTGAAAAATCTTGGTTAAAGTACCTTTCTCTTACATCCTGAATAGCTGAATCTTTAGCATTAAATCCTACAGAGTCCTATAGGTCTTGTATACAGTTGAAATCAAGATGCTGTGAACATTTATAAATTATGATGACGATTAAATTTTACAACATGCAACCTATTTCTGGTTGTAAACACTCATCAAAAAAATTAGCACCTACTCATTCTTCACCCTAAACCGATAAAGCATTCATCTGATGCTTATCTTGTTCATTTCACGTAAACCAATAGGTTTCTCATGCGATTAAAAGAGTCATTGATTCATTAAAAAATATACGTGTACATGGGTCATTTCACAAAAACTGCGATACTTCGAGGCGTAACATGAGATTTTCTAAATTCAACCTTTACATTTGTTTTCGTTATTTTTTTTTTTTTTNTTTTTTTTTTTTTTTTTTTTTTTTTTTTTTTTTTTTTTTTTTTTTTTCTGTTACGTGTACAGTCCAATCAAGCTAATTTAAACGGGAATTCGTTTTAATTAAAAAAAAAAAGTATTATTGATACGTTTTCGGCTGAAATTTCTGAAGTCACAGTTGTTTTACTGGGGCAAACGTCCTTTATTTGCAACGACACTGCGACTCGACTCACAAAAATCGATCAATTTAAAATGTCCCAAGAATTCATTTGTCTCGCGCAGTTCTAAAGTGCCAAAAGCTGGCCCCACGGCTAAAGCGTCCCGTACTTTTTTAAACTAATTTTTTTTTTCTTCCAAACTGCAAGAAATGGTGAAGTCAGTTCACACCGTTCAAAAAAAGTTCTACCTCGCAATAATTAAATCCACCGTCTTTAAAAACACATGATCCATGTAAAATCGCAATTTTCGTGAAATGACCCATATACGCACATATTAATTGAGCTCGACGCAGCTATACCGAGGAGACAAGTAATCCTGACCTTTTGGAGCACCTTCGGCCGATCGAGCTGCTATTGAATTACCTACTCGGTTCTTGATTGAATGCTCACGTCGATCGTTTAGTACTCATCACGTATCGTTTGTTTCAACATTGCGTCATCCACTACACAGCGTAACACATGTCACTGCAGCAGTACATACATGTACCTATATGTGATGGGGCCAATTAATTATATTCATCGTTCACGAAATTGCAATAATAACATGTGGCCCGTCGTTTTATCTCCGAAAAACGCAGGAAAATGCCTTATCTTGAACGTATATTGACACAACTAAAACATTCAATGGAATTTATTAGACGTGAGGAATCGAAGTGGGTATATAAATTTTGACGGTAGTAATACACCTCTTTATTCCCCATGATGCTTTCGTCGTGGAGCTCTTGCTGTAAGTAACGTTATAATATCTCGAGTTTGTTATTTATTCGCAATTAACGTTTTCATTGGAAAATTTTGAATCAAGAAAAACTGGAAATACTTGCTCTGCTCATTTTTTTTTTTTTTCTTTTCTTCTATGCAACAAATTTATTACAAATAATAATAATAATAATAACACACAACTTTCCCGAAGGCGTGGGAGTTTCTCAGCGATGGATATTCACTATAATGGCCTTTTTTGGCCTGTGGCTGGGCAACGGATTGCGAGTCGCTTTGTCCATTACGATAACAGAAATGACTGTACCCATAGCGGAAGCGACGCATCAACTCGATGATACTTGTGCAACCATTGAAAAGCCAGTGTTGAAAAATGTCACCACCACCGACACCGACTACCTCTACGATTGGGACGAATATACGCAGGTATGTTGTACATTAAAATGTCCTTTCTCCATGAAAAAAAAAAAACTTGATCAAAATTGTCATTTTTGCATTCCCTTCAGGGCATTGTTCTATCCTCGTATTTCGTTGGGTACGTAATAATGCACTTCCCGGCTGGCTTCCTTTCCGAGCGCTACGGTGGCAAGCACTTCCTAGGCATGAGCGTCATCGTGCCCTCCGTACTGACTTTTTTTACCCCAATGGGCCTAAAGTACGGTGGGGCTACGGCACTTACGATTATGCGGTCCTTAATGGGCCTGGCCGGTGGTGCCATGTACCCTGCCGTAAGGTATATGATACATGTACAACCAAACATCAAAAGAAAATTAACCTTCGAAAAAATACGCTGTGAAGATAAATAACGAACGATTTATCAACAGCGCGATGCTGCCCCGTTGGTCAGCCCCAATCGAGAGAACAAAATTCGGAAGCATCGTGTACGCTGGGGGCATGTTGGGCAACGTGTGCGGCAACACTATGGCCGCTCTGATAATCCACTTCTCGGGTGGGGCCTGGCAGGCCGTTTTCCACATATTCGGTGCCGTTGGGATGCTATGGTTTCCCCTTTGGATGGTGCTCTGCTACAATAGCCCCAAAAAACATCCCTTCATCTCCGAGACCGAGTTGAAGTATCTGCAAGAGACATCGGAGAGAAAGCAAAAACCACCACCGGCGCCTTACGGACATATCTTCCGATCCAAGCCAATGTGGGCCTTCGTCATAGCGCTCTTTGGCAACGATTGGGCCTACTTTACGGTTCGTCACAAACACTTTTTCTCGATATTCTTAAGGAGGATTTTTTGCGCCATTTTATAACTCAGAGTACATTTACCGTAGATGGCAACTGATCTGCCCAAGTACATGAGCAGCGTCGTAAAGTTCTCGATCGAGGACAACGGGTACCTGTCCTCCCTGCCCCACTTGGGCGGCTGGATGTTTTCCATATTTTGCTTTTGGCTCGTGGATCGCGTAATGGAGAGGCAGTGGCTGAGGCTCGGTACCCTACGGAAACTCCTGACCGTGACAGCCATCGTGGGCCCATCCATGTTCATCTTGGGGGCATCATACGCCAAGTGCGACCGGATGATGGTCGTGATGATGTTCGTGGCTGGAATGACCCTCATGGGTGCATCTTACCCTGGCATCTACGTCAATTCAATGGATTTGAGTCCCAACTATTCGGGGACGCTGATGGCTATTTCGAACGGCATCGCCTCGGCCGGGGGTATATTCACGCCGTACATCGTCGGAGTCATGACTCCCAATCAGACAATTGCCGAGTGGAGGCTCGTGTTTTGGATCATCTTCTTTGTGGGCTCATTGTGCTGTACGTTCTATTTGATCAACGGGAGCTCGGAGGTCCAGCCTTGGGACAGCCCGGACTTTTTGAAAAACGAGGAAAAAATGAATGCCGCCAAAACGCCATACAAGGGAGAAATCGTTGCCGTCAAAGCCACCATCAAAGCCATTGACACCGAGAGTGCTTACTCGTAACTCTGATTTTATTGGTTCGAAACCAATGAAATTAATATAATTGACTCACCTTTCAGGGATTTTTCATCGATTCACTGGTTAAATTTCTGATTCGTGTTGTGAACTATACAATTTTAACCATTTTAATCAGTGGACGATTCACTGATTCGGTTCAAGAGAGAAGATAAAGATCTTTGTTTGTTTTTTTTTTTTTTTTTTTTTTTTTTTTTTTANATCCTCAAGTTTTTACATTTAATTTTTTAATTTTATTTTTACGTCAAGCCCGACGTAACCGAGAGCCCAAACGAAAAAGATATTCCGATCCGAAAAAAATAAAAATCCATCCCAACCCGCCCCACGTATAAAATATACATGTAGACTCGCATGTAGAGAGGTAACAATAATATCACCAATCTCAGCGGGCGCGGGATAAAAGATTCGAGCTCGCGAAATCATAAGGTGTCCAACCAAGGCGACAACAGCAGAAATATCTCGTTACCACCAGCTTGAACGTGTACTGTTTCCTCCCGGGGTTCTTCCTCCCCTACACACCCACATACTTTGTATAGGTGGTATCATAATGCGCAATTGGGCCAAGTCAACGCGAGCTCGTATGGTTGGCCGCTATGTGTGTTGTAGATTCTTGGGTCGCGCACGTGTCCTTAATACAAAAATCACCTCTTTCTGTGTCAGTGACTGCGAGCTTTATTGGTCCATCGCGTTCAAGTGTATATATACCTATTCGGTGCATGTGGCACGTGCCTCATCTCTGTCGGAACGATTGTGCACTGCGCAGCTGCATGCATATCTATGTAATTCGTATCGCGATATGCCGCACAACATATATACATACGCCCTCGTCGTCGTTATGCGCATCACAATATTTCGCCGTGTGTGCGTGCTCTGGTGGTGGGTATAGCCTTTTTTTTCCTTCCTTTCATTCGATTTCCTTTCTCCGCTCCCCCCCCTCCCCCTTTGTTTATCTCCTTTTCAACGATAATTTGCGAGCTTTTGACGCGTATCGACAACTTTTAAGATTATAGGATACCTTACCGCTGCAGAACTTGAAGTGACAGTGTTTTTCTTTTTAATCTTAACTTGTGTGGGTTCAGTTTTTTTTTTTTTTTTTTTTTTTTTTTTTTTTTTTTTTGTTTTTTTTTGTAACGACCGTGTTATTAGTATTTTTTCTCTTCTAATCGTTGCAATTAAATTTCGAAGAGATTTTGTGCTATCCATCGCTCAATAGCAACGAATAGCTATGTTCATTATCTAATTTCATCAAGCAATTTTTCTCACAATCATCGTCCGAAATTTCGGATTCATTACATCACCTCCTGCTTGTGAATAGCTCGTGAGCGCGTGAAGCTTGTGCGTATATCAATAAAAGAATATTGTTTTCACGATAACAATATTTGTAAGTGTAGCTGATATTTATGTATTAATGTGTGTGTATCGATACACGCACTGTTAAACGGACTTTTACACGAAGTTCTAGTAATTACTGCTTAAATGCGTCGCTTATTCAATTATGTAAATAAACAGATGAACGAATCGGTTATACTTACGAAAACTGATTAATAAGTTATTATTATTCATGCAGTAATCAACCGAATAATTATCTACCATTTTATTTAACTGTTTTATGTTCCGCTGACATTAAAACTTTTTTTTATTACTTGGAGATCATGTGTAAGTTTGATTTTACGTCAATGCCAGGTATGGTGTAGCCCCACTTTTCTCCTACCTATACTTTGAACTTTTTTATCAGCTATGAAGATACAGTAACGACAGCACATGGCAGATCAATCAATAACACCTTTTTAGATCAAGTATTTGGAATATTTCTATTTTTAAACGTATAAAATGTCCTAACTACCAAGGTTTCTTATCTTGAATATATTTTTAACGACAGTCTCGAAATATTCAATGAATTTTGTAAAATTGTATTGTGTGCAAGATGCTAAGTGTCAAGGGAAAATTCATTGCCACACATATGCTATTATTAACTATATGTTATTAACTAGAAATAAAAAATTACCCACGAGTAGAAAAATATCAAAGATTAGCTATCAATTTCGAATTAGATTCAATCGAGATTCAACAACATTTATTTTAAAAAAACCAAATCCTTAATAAAACGATCGATTTTGCAGTATTAAATATTTTCTTGCTTACAGCTTATTTTGTGCACTCTTTTAGACTGTTTCACCCACTCTAAATTCAGTTAGAGTCTGTGAAAGTTGACTGGTAATTTTCTCAAGGATTTCCAGGACTAATTTTTTACTGAGGAGAGTAGCTGACCTTATAAAATTTGTAAAAGATTAGTTGTAAAGTTGCTGCAAATAACAGAAAATGTCAACTTTATATAGTCTATCTATACAATCAGTTGCGGCTGGTTTATAATTAATAAAGTGACTTTACTGTAAATAGCAATTATTATTTGGATTAGCGCCATCTAGCGGTCTTCATTTTTGAGCAAAAAGTGGCCTCTAAAATTCTTAAACAGAGTTTTAAGGCCTAGAGCCATTTAGTCAATTATAAACCAGCCGCAACTGATCTGAAAAACTAAAAGGGCAAGTTTAAGTAGACCGCTTAGTTTGCAGCAAGTTTTCAATCTATTACTTACCTAAAAATCTATAAATATGTAAGTAAATAAAACGAAAAAGTATAAGTACATAAAAAGGTCAATTTTTGGGTCAAACATAAATTCTACTCTTGCCGCAAATAGCACAAACTTCGTGAAATTTTTAATTTACGTCTATAAAATTAGTTGCGGTTGGTTTATAATTGATAAAATGGCTCTAGGCTTTAAAGATTACTAAAAAATTGGCCTCCTATATATTTACACTTTTGGAGGTAAATTTTCGTATAAAAGAGTAGAAAACTACGGTTTCACCAATCTTTTGGAGTTCTTGGTTTTAACACTGTCTTCTGTAGGCACAGAGCGCTTTTTGTTTTTCCTTTTGTCAGTTGAATTAATTTTATCACAGAACACAATAGTCTGAGCCCAGCCAGCTAAAGGGCCCCACATCTCGCGTAGATAGGAGTTTATTTCTTGATGAATTTTTGGAGTGACAGTTTTTTGCTTACCTAAATGAGGCATGTAGTTGGCACAGGCAACTTGAAATATGTGAGTGTCAACGGGAATTGCTTCCAAGTGGCCGAGCGACATTAGACAAATACAATCGGCTACTTTAGGGCCAATTCCAGGCAAAGACATGAGATTCTCTCGGGCATTATCATAAGTTGAACCATTTTCTTTCTTCAACGATGAAAGCCACTCTCTCCCACCAAGCGTCACAAGTTTCTCTGCACTTTTGTGTATGTATCCTGCCCTGTATCCAAAACCTTCCATTTTCAGAACAGATTCTACTTTTGAATTTGCAAGAGCCTCTATTGTTGGAAAATCATAATAATCTTGACCCTCCAGTTCACATATTTTATTACCAAATATTCTACAAAGTTTTTCTACCATCCCAGATATCCTAGAAAGTTTATTGAAATTATTCAATTAAAATATAATTAATTTAGCCTAATGTAAATAAGTATTAATGTACCGTAAAATATTATTATTTGAACTGCATATAAAAGAGAATAGATTCTCAACAACATCTTGATTCAACATTCTAACGGTGCCGATTTCGTTGTAAGATGTTTTGAAATAACTATCTTTTTCAGACCAAACTTTGAGATGTTCTTTTAGTGGTACATGCAATTGAAAGTAGTTAATCAATGCATGATGACATTTTACATCCTTATGCAAAGACCCATGCATTGTGTATGTCAATATTTCATTAGTTTGTGATATTGTCCAGACAGAACTGTTGAAAACACCTCTGTAATTATTTCCATTTTTCTCCATTGTCCACCTTTTTGTAAACACAATATTATGTCATTAAAAAATTACTAGCTTATTGAAATTTTATCATAAAATATTTGTGTAAGAGAAGATTACAATTCATTCTTTATAAACAAAGTAACTTTTGATTAATAAAAAATAACGTAGTTGGTGAAAACGCAAGTATAAGGTGACAAAAGAAAAAGCACGTTTGACACAACCTAGTTTTAAATATTGATAGTGATTATAAATTACCGAAAACTTTGCCCTCCTTTTAAAGTAACTCCGAGATTAAGTTCTTCCTTGGTACAAGGTATAGAGCCGCTAATCTTTTTCATCTCCACACCACATTTTACTGGCACAGTCATTGTTGACACAAATTTCCAACTGAAAAATAATCTTAATTCGATACTGGCGACCATTAACAAATTCGACAAATAAAACGCTATACTTAACCAATGTAAACTAAATCAAAGCACTACAATTCAACCCGTTCATGATGAATCATCTGTGTACCAACAAATTCAGCCGTCACATCGTAGCGTGAAAATACAATAACATACGAATATGATACACCTACTTATATGATTTTGAGCAAGATTTTTCCGTTGGTCTTAAATATAATACCCGTCAAAATGTTAAAAATTGGCGCCTATTATTGGAAAAGTTGACTGGTAATTTTCTCAAGGATTTCGAAGGCTAATTTTTTACTGGGGAGAGTGGCTAGACTCTAAGTAAAATTTTTATAAGCCATATGAGATGAGTAGAATAGTTATGGTTTTGGAGGTCGACTTTCGGGTATAAAATATATTGTAAACTTGCCGCAAAGACCATAAGTAATGTCAACTATTTATCGTCAATTTATAAGATTATTGCGGCTGGTTTATAATTAATAAAGTGACTTTACTGTAAATAGCAATAATTATTTGGATCAGCGCCATCTAGCGGTCTTTATTTTTTGGCCAAAAGTGGCTCCTAAAATTCTCAATCAGAGCAATCACGATTAGAGCCATTTAGTCAATTATAAACCAGCCGCAACTTATGTTGAAGCTGTAAAATAAAAAAAATAACGATACATGTGTTTTTGGCGGCAAGTTCACAATTTGATTTCTACAAAAAATCGACCTCCTTTGTATTTATACTTTTAGAGATAAATTTTTGAGCACAAAATAAATTGTTAACTTGCCGCCAAAAACACATGTATTGTTATTTTTTTATTTTATAGCTTTTTCATGAGTTGCGGCTGGTTTATAATTAATTAAATGGCTCCAATCCTGATTGCTCTAATTGAGAATTTTAGGAGCCACTTTTGGCCAAAAAATAAAGACCGCTAGATGGCGCTGATCCAAATAATTATTGCTATTAACAGTTAAGTCACTTTATTCATTATAAACTAGCCGCAAATAATCTTATAAATAGACAATGAATAGTTCAAATTTTGTATGAAACTTGCGGCAAGTTTACGATCTATCTTTCATCCAAAAATCGACCTCTACAAGTAAATAAATATTCTAATTTTCTTATATGGCATATAAAATCGACCATATTTACAAAATTCTAATACTTAAGACCTTTTACCATTTAATCATGGAGCACAGCCCTTTAACTTTATAGTTTAAATAAACAGTTAACTTACATATTATGTACATAGCTAAATTTGTGTTACAGAAATCTTGAACAATGATTAAATAGATACGCAAAGTAATCAGTCCAAAAGAGACAACTGAAGAAAAAAGGCTTAAAAAAGAAGTTCAGTCACACAGGAAGAGTCTCCTAAAAATAGAGCATTGCATCTCACTTAATGAGAGTTGTTTCAGATATACAGAATGTGAAAATTCAGAATTTTATGCTAAGGATTTGTGTTTATTTGGATAATAAAGAAAATTTGTTAATCAAACATAGAGCTTTATTTGTTTTACATTTAACAAATAATTGATGATGATTATACAAGCAGCTCTTAAATCTTATTGTAAGTCTGCAGAAGCAGATNGGATCTGCCGATAATGCCGATCTATTATATTAGACCCTCCACTCACTTTATGAAAATTCACTAAGTATCCGCAGCGGAGGGTCTATTGGAGCCGATTTATTAGACCCTCCGATCACTTTACAAAAATTAAATTAAAAAACTTACTATAGGCTAGTGTCCGTAGCGGAGGGTCTATTGGAGCCGTTGCGTTAGACCCTACAGTCACTTTATAAAAATTCAATAAGAAAACTTACTGGGCTAGTGTTCATAGCGGAGGGTCTATTAGAGCCGATTTATTAGACCCTACGCTCACTTTATAAAAATTCAATTAGAAAACTTGCGAGGCTATAGTGTCCGCAGCGGAGGATCTATTGGAGCCGATTTATTAGACCCTCCGATCACTTTACAAAAATTAAATTAAAAAACTTACTATAGGCTAGTGTCCGTAGCGGAGGGTCTGGTCTGCCGATCTATTAGACCGTATACTCATTTCATACAAATTAAGTAGAAAAACTTGGTAGGCTCTGTGTCCCAGCGAAGAGTCTATTGGAGATTGGAGCCGATCTATTAGACACTACGCTCACTTTATGAAAATTCAACAAGAAAACTTGCAAGGCTATAGTGTCCGCAGTGGAGGGTCTATTGAAGCCGATCTGCTAGACCCTCCGATAGAAATTCGCTTGAAAAACGAATGAAATTATATGAAAATACTTGACATAATTTAAAGACCGATAACCAATAAGAGAGTCATCACAAGGACCTACCATACCGACCTAAGGTATCTTTAAGATAGACTGTTGACTTGCCGCAAACAGCACAAAAATGTCATCTTTTTAATTTTCTATCTATAAAATTAGTTGCGGCTGGTTTACAATTCATTATATGGCTCTACACTGTCAATGTGAAGCGATAATTATTTGGATCAACGCCATCTAGCGGTCTTTATTTTTTGGCCAAAAGTGGCTCCTAAAATTCTCAATCAGAGCAATCATGATTAGAGCCATTTAGTTAATTATAAACCAGCCGCAACTTATGTTATAGCTGTAAAATAGAAAAATAACAATACATGTGTTTTTGGCGGCAAGTTCACAATCTGATTTCTACAAAAAATCGATCTCTTTTGTATTCATACTTTTAGAGATAAATTTTCGAGCACAAGATAAATTGTTAACTTGCCGCCAAAAACACATGTATTGTTATTTTTCTATTTTACAGCTATAACATAAGTTGCGGCTGGTTTATAATTAACTAAATGGCTCTAATCATGATTGCTCTGATTGAGAATTTTAGGAGCCACTTTTGGCCAAAAAATAAAGACCGCTAGATGGCGTTGATCCAAATAATTATCGCTTCACATTGACAGTGTAGAGCCATATAATGAATTGTAAACCAGCCGCAACTAATTTTATAGATAGAAAATTAAAAAGATGACATTTTTGTGCTGTTTGCGGCAAGTCAACAGTCTATCTTAAAGATACCTTAGGTCGGTATGGTAGGTCCTTGTGATGACTCTCTTATTGGTTATCGGTCTTTAAATTATGTCAAGTATTTTCATATAATTTCATTCGTTTTTCAAGCGAATTTCTATCGGAGGGTCTAGCAGATCGGCTTCAATAGACCCTCCACTGCGGACACTATAGCCTTGCAAGTTTTCTTGTTGAATTTTCATAAAGTGAGCGTAGTGTCTAATAGATCGGCTCCAATCTCCAATAGACTCTTCGCTGGGACACAGAGCCTACCAAGTTTTTCTACTTAATTTGTATGAAATGAGTATACGGTCTAATAGATCGGCAGACCAGACCCTCCGCTACGGACACTAGCCTATAGTAAGTTTTTTAATTTAATTTTTGTAAAGTGATCGGAGGGTCTAATAAATCGGCTCCAATAGATCCTCCGCTGCGGACACTATAGCCTCGCAAGTTTTCTAATTGAATTTTTATAAAGTGAGCGTAGGGTCTAATAAATCGGCTCTAATAGACCCTCCGCTATGAACACTAGCCCAGTAAGTTTTCTTATTGAATTTTTATAAAGTGACTGTAGGGTCTAACGCAACGGCTCCAATAGACCCTCCGCTACGGACACTAGCCTATAGTAAGTTTTTTAATTTAATTTTTGTAAAGTGATCGGAGGGTCTAATAAATCGGCTCCAATAGACCCTCCGCTGCGGATACTTAGTGAATTTTCATAAAGTGAGTGGAGGGTCTAATATAATAGATCGGCATTATCGGCAGATCCTCCGCTACGGACACTAGCCTAGTACTTAAGTTTTCTAAATTGAATAAGTAGAGCCAAAAACCAAAGCCATGTATGCTTGTGTGAATCAGGGTTTCACATAGAGATATTAGAGTTCTAATATCTCTATGGGGGGTTTCATCCCCACTGACCCCCTCCACTCCACCGCCTCTCTCGCTTGCTCAGTCCTGAAAATGACATCTTTAGCTAAGTACACCGCTACACGGGTAAAGGAAAGGGTTTCAAATTTTTCTAAGTTTCAGTTTCAGTCCACGGTATGGTAAATATAGTATACGACATTATTGAAACAAAAAAATTAGTCGTTAAATGTGATTTATAGAATAATTAAAATAAAATCTTTTATGACCTTGATTTAACTTGGATTCTAACGAGGGTGAAATAAATTGAGAAAAACTAATTTCTTTCTAGTACTGCTTTTAAACTTTTTTCAGCAGGATTTCTCAATTTAATCCGGATGGACACGATTTTGAAAAGTTTTGTTTTCAAGTTAACTCACAAATTTGTGAGTTTTGTCATACAGTTTTTCAAATAAAACGTATAAATCCTGAAATCAAGCACAATAATCCATATTCAAAGTCTAAATTGATGAACTACAGTAGGGATGATTTTATGTAGAATCATCCACGTACAACAATATTTTTAGGTATATTTTGTGTTGTTTTTATTGATTCACACATCATATACACCTACGTATAGCATGGGCGTATTATTATGGGTAAATACGAAACTAAGCTTTTGCAGACAATACAACATACTTACAGTGTGGACACTGTGGACAGTGTGTGCTCACATGCAATTGATTCCTTCCATGTGACGTACGTAATAATGTTTTGATAGTACTATCAAATAATAATAATAATAATAATAATAATAATATTAGGCAAAAGAGACAGTAATATTTATTCGATATATTGGCAAAAGTGTCAAAATGACGATGGAAACAATGGAGACAATGGAGCAACAATCCGAGAACACTGATTTAAAGCCCAAGGACACAAGGTATACCTACGTGTTATTAATACCAGTAAAGATTTTTACTTTTTCTTACCATACTTTTACGTTATTGAGCGAGATAAGAAATGGTAACACTACTTGCATTCCAGCATGTATTAAGTTTGAATAAGATGTACGTAATAAAGGGGGGCTCGGCATGGTAAATGTTTGTTCGCTCTCCCCATGACCCGCCGTTGTTGGGGGAACAGGATGCTTATTCAATTAATAAGCCTGGCTGTTATGACCGTAGATTTTGTTTTAAAAAATACAATTTATTTTTTTTATCAAAAACTTAGGATTTTATGTAACAACAAATGGAGATTTTTCTTCAAGTACGATTTCATTTTACATAATGATCTGTCCATTACTTTATTAATTTCTTCATGCGAGGTTATATTATTATACCTATTGCATTAATCAAGTAGGCTATGTCGTTGTATCGTCAAAGAGGTTTAAAATTTTAAATTCCATTTAAGCAGCCATGCCAAAGAGATCTCGGAAAGATTTACCGACAATGGAGGATCATATGACATGGTAGTGAAAAAAATGCTCAATGACGGACACGAAGGAGAGCTGTGCCTCTGGCTGAAGGAAGTAAGCTTAATCAGATCAGACATGAACTGCCTAACTGAAAGCTGCAATGGCAAAAGTCTCACGTGGCAACCCTCCAGAGTAGTTGATAAATATTGCTGGTATTGCACTAACTGTAAGAAAAAACAATTCATCAGGGACAGTTCATTTTTCTTACAAATCAAGTGTGAACTGAAAATCTGTATGCAAATCATTGTTGCCTGGTGTCAATTTACACCTTCTGAAGTAGTAGTGTCGTACTTAGGTCAGTATTAAAAATTATTTCTTCGGTAAACATCGTTCTTTTCTAGTAGTTAAATTAAATTTTTTCATCTATACTTTCTCAATGAATTATATCATTTCAGGATTAAAACACTTTGTTGTTCGAAAAACTTACGAAAAATTAGCAAAAGTAGCTGAACTGTATGTGGTTAATCATATAAATGAATGGATATTAGGTGGCCCAGACAAAATTATAATTATCGACGAATATCCTAGTGGATATATGACGGAAACTTTAATTAACGCTCCAGTTACTAAAAGACGAAATAATAATAATTGTCATACCATTTTGTGCATGGCTGAAGTAAAGGATATTCCTCCTAGAATGTGGATGCATATAATGAACGCTAATCCAGAAGTATGAACCATTATTATTTATATTATATTTACAACAAAATGTTTATAAACAATTTAAAAAAAATTTTCAGTCTATATCTCCGAAAAATGCGAAAAATCAAAAACAAGCAACCAAGTGTGGTATGGTTGAAGAAGCTTTAAAAGAAATTTGTGCCCATGCAAAACCTGGTAGTTATCTCATAGCAAATAAGAAAGCTCGTTGCTGCAATTATGAGTCATTGAAAGAATTAAAAGACTACAAAGTTGTTAGTCTTGAAGGTTTACAAACTCATGATACTCCTGGAAAGAATGAACTCTTAAACAATATTGGTCAGTCATTTGTGATAAAAAGTAACTTTTAAGCGACTACGTTGATTAAGTTTGTAATGTTTACTTAATACCGTTACAGAAACCATATGGCAAACAGGGATTGAAGTATGTGAAGATATTCAAGACACCACGCGCGCTCAGGGGTTGCAATTTTTTTATCTACACTTGTGGAGACAAAGATTCGCTACGACCCCAGCAAGTGCTTTTGAGCACATTATACAACACATTGCCGAGTGTTTTCCTTTCACGTAAACTTGTGTGTTTAAATTTAAAAATGTATTATTTTGAGCTTTTCAAATAATTTATTTAGCTAGGAATATCATTAAGAAAGAGACTATTTGTAAGAGTTATATATTTTCTGAGATATTTAAAGTTTAAGCGAGAAAAGAAGTCTTCCAAAACGACATTTCGCGCACAATCAAAAATCACACAAGTGCCTTAAATAACTTGAGTTATGTTTAATTACAACTGTTAACTACTTAGAGAATTTATAAGAAATCAGTGGTTTTTTGCCTTTGTAAGTCTTACAGCACATACTGAGCCAGAGAGGCTAAAGTGTCTTAATAGCATTATATTCTTCAATTCCAGTGAAATATTCCTTTATTGTTATAATGATGTTGATGTGAGTATAAAATATATTACTTAATGTATTTTGTAAACATATCGAATCATACTAAAATATTTATTTTAAGTCCTGAATTGAAAAAAAAAA